GTATTTTTAATTTCAATGTTTAAAAAAATGTAAATATATTAAATTTTTTGGTTTCGTATTTTCTAAAAAATTAATATAAAATTGTCCGCAGTGCGGTATCTTATTTAATTTTAATTTCCAATTTTTTTGTTGTTTTAAGTCATCTGCAGATTGTTCCTAATTCAGGCTTGAGCGATACTATTTTGAATGGTGCAAAAATATGAATTGTTTAAAAAGTTTTAAACTTAACAGGTTTACTTGGAATCCGGATTTTTTTTTAACATTATAACATTTACGTAACTTCCATATCCGTATATTTACGTAACTTCTATAACAATGGGTTTCGTTAACGCTTGTCGATGTGTTCAAGTCGTCATAAGCCTGCACTTCCGATTCGAATTAACGAAGCCCATTGCGATCCGGATCGCAATTGGTTACAAATAATCCAAAAGTACAGCAGGAGTCCCCAATAACTAGTTTAATACTTGAATACCATGGACTGAGGAATACGACATACGTAGATATAATTAGCAACATTTCTCACGTTGACATTAATTTGATGTGAGAACAATTTCTTTTTTAAACTTAATATTTTATTGTTTTATTGGTAAATGTATTTGTTGTGTTTTTTTTATTAAAAATTACAGATTATTATTCTATTTTATTGACGTTTTTGGTTTTATTTTCTTATAATAACCACTCATCAATCTCTAGTACATCTCATAAATACATGTTTAATTTTTCTGAACTAGCCAGTCTCTACTGTATACAAATATTTGCAAAATATAATCATCTTTCTTATAAAATGTCGCCTTCATTTCAGTACATTTAAAGTAAAGGGACATTTTTGATAAAATTTTATCCTTTAACATATATTTACCTGGTAGATACTGTCTCAGACTTAACTCGTAACCAAATATTTTAGCACTCATTGTGGAACAAATAAACAGATTTGTTATAAAATTATTTCAATTATTTTTTATTTATGGATTTGCAATTTTGTTTAATTGCTCGTTAATAAATATTAAATACTGAAATAAAAAATTTCCATATATATTGATTTTGAACCTTATTTTTTGAAACATTGCATTTGAAGTCTTGCCTCAACCATATATGTAGTATAGAACATATCTATTTTGAATAGTGGCTTCTTTTTCAGATCGAGACAATTTTTTTATTATTTATCCTCAGTCCTAAAGGCTACCGAAATGTGAAACCACATTGATATCTATTTTTAAATATTTTATTGCGTTTTTAGAACTTTTTGCAAGAATTTTCTGTTGTATGTAGGTTTTCTTCAGAAATATTTTAAATTTTGCAAAAGAATATAACTTCAATGTAGCTTTATGCTTTAATGCAATTGGAGAACGAATAAATCTAAGATTTACAATTATTATTATTATTACAATTATGATATTATTAGTATAAGATTATATATAAGTATAAGATTATATAAGTAATTAAAATACAGTTCCATATCATTTGGGGTTACGTATATTATATAAGTATATTACGTATATACGTATCAAACTATATGAAAATAACTTGATTTTAAATAATTTTTCTTTTCTCAGGAAAACTACAATATTATAGTAGTAAATACTAAGTATTCTACTGTTTATTTAACATAACTACCCCTTTGATATTTTTGCAAAAATGGAAACACTGGAAACATATTTGCAGACCCTTCTGGCGCGAAGCTGTTTAAGCGTCAAATTAAATAACTGGCTTTACCGAACATCTGGGACCTCATCCGTAAATCTGGATCCCCAGGGAATCCTGGAAAGGCAAGAGCTGGTTCCGAATGGCAATTTAAGTATTGTTCATATATTGGGATTTGCTATAGCGCGAAATAAAATACCAAAAAAGTTCAGTTTATTTGAATTAACATGCTTGCAAAAAATTCACGTTCATGTCTGTTTTAGTTGCAATTAATTTAAGTCGTATTTTATCAGTTACGTAATATTTCTATAAGTAATCTATAAATTCCTTTTAGAAACTATAATCGTTTTGTAAATATTTAAAAAACACTTTCGGTAACTCATCACTTGTAACAGGTTTCACGATAGATCGATTCGCAAATAATAAACGCCATTCTAGTCGAATTTTACAAAACACTCTAAGTAGGTCTGATTGAAGTATTTTGATGAAAAGCAAACATTACAACACGATATTGAGGATTATTGAATGTATTTCTGAAGCAAACAGCCGTGAAAAAAATGTTTATTTATAATATTATTGCAGTATTAATGCTGATAAGTTTTATCTCGCTTATCTGGCGTTCAATAAAGATAAATACAACGTATTTCGTCGTGTGTGTATTTCCAAATTATATCGTGCTTTATAAATAAATAACACCGCGCTTGATTTCAGGTATTTGAAACGTTTTCAATATTCTAATGCACTTAAATGTTTCAGATGAAGCAATATACAGGGCGCAGCTAAATGCTAATCCTATCAGTATGTAAAATATAGGTTGGCGTTTATCTATACTGGGTTATTTCTAAATCGATGTTGTTATAAAGGGCGTATGAAAATGGTGCAGCCAATATAAAGAACAAGTTCTACAGCGGAAATTAGTGTGAGAAGTTTCTAAAACACTTCAAAAACCTTCCAAAAATTCAATAATAACGGATGTACAGGACGATAGTTAGATTTTAAAAATTAATTTTTTAAAATAGCTTTTTTCTTAAATATCCGATTATTTGAAAATGTTAAACCCTTATTATTTATGGTATTTTGTATTATTGTCAAACGTTGGCATTTATCCCTTAATGCTAAGGGGTTGACCTTACCCTTGTTATCTACTTATTAACATAAACTTGTTTGTTTTTCGGTTTTGGTTGTGGGGCTCCAAAGAATAAAAGAGCTGTTGAAAATACGTAAAAACTGTTTATTTGTCAGATCTCTATATTACAAAATTGCATAATTTCTATTAGTTAATGGACTATTGAATAAATGATCATAAATTCCATGTGCACTTGTTTCCTAGACAACTTTTAAAGTAGATTTTCCCCATCCTGTAGTAGCTACATGTGTCGGCTAATCTTTAAGGAAAAGTCTTGTAAATGAACAGATAAATCATTTTGTTGAAAAGACGACAGAAATATTCTGCTTTTCAAACTGTTATGGTTGTTATAGTTGTTGAAAACTGTTTCTCCGAATATTCTTGATTGCAAGATTAATAAGACGCCACTCTTGCTCATTTTTGAAATTGACCACTTCAGGTAAATATGGCTTTGTGAGTAGGAATAATTTCAAAAAAAAAATGTGTGTCATGTTTGTGCTGTTGTAAAAACCATTTAAAAGACCGAGGAAATATTCAGGCTGTAGTGTTTGAACACGTTGAATATGACTAATATGAGAAAGGTACAGCTGGTATCTTCATAATGTTGTGTATAGCTTTTTTGATTTCCTCATAAGCTCATTTGCAATTCTTGTGTACTTTTTAGTTGGATCATCCTCAGATACGCATTTTGACGATACTCACAGTGCCGTTAATTATATCAGCTTAAATATAATTCTGAATTTTAACTTCTTTAGTGAACTGCAAGATTCAAATACAAGGAAATCAAAAGAAGTGTGGTAACAAGTAAAAAGCTATGAAATCGTCTAACAGTAAAGTTGTTCCATAATATAGTTAAATATATTTTTATTATTGATACAATTTTCTCATTTTGAAGGGTTATGAAACAAAATATCTTCAAAAGTTGTTTCCTTTCAGGACAATTAAGTCTCAACTTTTTTTTCAACAAGTTTCTCATAAAAGTAAGCTGTTCGCGAGATGATACTCCAAGGGATAATCAATAATAAGTTATCAAGTGCCTATAGAGTTTTTTGCATAAAAACATCTAGATAAGTTGCATTTTCCAGTTACAAGGACATCGATAAAGTGCATGTCAGCCATATAGCTGATAAGTAGTATGTACGTAATAATTTTATACATACAAAAATATATTTATGTATATTGAGATCTATCATTAAATGCGTTTTAAATGAATTGAGAATTGGAAAATAAGTTGGTAACTGTGGATCTGCCCCTAAGAAAACCATGTTGACTTACGGACAATCTGTTCCTTAGTTCAAAGGATATAGGAAAATAGGATAAATTACAAATAACTACACCGATATATAATTCTGTAATACATTCTATGGGCCCTTCGTAAATACCGAAAAACTCTTAGCCGAATGCCATGGTTTTTAGGCGACGCATCCGAGCTGAGACAAGCATTAATTAATATTTTCGTCAACTAAAATGCAAATGCAAAGTGCAAATAAAATAGCATAATCCCTCAACTAAAACTGTGAGTTATTGTCCGGTCCTGCAGTACCCGTCGGTCTCATTCTTCGCAGATAAGACGGGACTTGAGATTCACGAATCTCCCCAATTTCAACGAGCAGATCATTTCCACTTGCAGAAACATCACCAGCTTATCATTAAACTCCGAAGAAATGATGTAGGATCTCCGAAAAAAATTCACAATGTCAGAAGGCTCGGAATCATAAATTCGAAAACAGAACCACAGTTTCACAACCGATAAAATCAGATCAAATGCGTGAGTTCTAAAATCCGTTCTTTTTCCTCAAGCTATTATCTTTTTTCCAAGGAAATTTTTCTTCAAGTAGATGCGCCCAGTTCGTATTCAATTCGGTATCTGTTCTCCAGTTCTCCAGTTCTCCCTTAGTCTCCTTAATAATTCTCACCGTTATATATTTTTTTGCAAAATTAAATTCTTTTGATATACATTTAAAATATAAGGAGAACTTGACAGTAAAAGACAGAAAATGTTGTTAAGCGAAGCAACTACAAAGCATGTAAAACATGTAATTTTTCTGCAAAAATAGATTTTACTGTTTACTCAAATTTAAATTGAAATCATTTTGCCACACGCGAAATAATCTAAATAATAAACTACTTATATTGAATAACTCGTTTGACAATACATTTTTTAAGTATCCATAAAATACTTACTGCCTTCAATTGTTGGAACATTGCGAAAGAGGGATAATAAAGTACAATACCTGTAACATAAATATATTTAGAAACCAATCTATTTAAACAATACAATAAAAATAAATGTACAAAATCAGGTTTGTTAAAGTTGAAACTAAAAGTACAGAGCTAGTTTAACACTTTAACGATTCATTTTTTTAAATTTCATGTTAAAATATCTTGAATTCATTTTATTTTATAAAAGAATAGCAACAAGTTTCGGAGTTTTGTTTCAACGAAACTATATTTCCAATGTGTGTCTCAAGATTACTTTATTTAATTTTCTCACATAGTCAAAACGACGAGTAGTGCTTACGACACAGATAAAACTGTTTGAACGAAAACATTTATGAATCTAAAATTGAAACCTCCCAAGTTAAGTCCCCAGTTGTCTTGAATCAGTCGTGGATAAAGTACACTCGGATCTTATAGCAATCATGCCCTCAGGTGATCTGCCAATCTTATGATGCCACTTTTATGATAGCCAATAATAACCACAGTATTATAACATATTATTATTAATATTTCGTATGATCTGGTGATTTCCAGTTCGCAAACCGAATAATAATTATAAAAAATATTCGACAAACAGAAACCAGATGAAAATTTTAGCTGATCAATTCAACCGTGGACAAAACAGTTATTATAGTATTGTCTTACGATTTCAGGACGTGATTCAAATATGCAATATAACAAATAGCTAGTCTCAGAATTTCAATTTTAGATAGTTTCTTATCGGGCGGTAAAGTTGGCAAGAGTTTTCTGAGTTCTGCAAAGGCTACATTGAATGCTTCTACACGTATCCTTTCTCTTGTAGCATGAGCAGTGCGGTATTTCTGAGTCGCTCGACGGCGACGTCTTCGTTCTTCTCTAGTTAGCATAGCCATATCACCAGTTTTCTCTCTGTAATTAATAAACTATTATTATAGCTATTGCGCTAAGTATGTATCTAATAATTACGCGAATAATAACACACGCGTTTAATTTTTCATTGGACAGATAACATCATGTGTGGAATGCTTGCAAGATTCAATGAAAGAAAGGGAAGTAAATTAAATCTTTTTATATACAGTGTGGATGAATAGATAGAAAAAATGAAAAGGATGATGGTGAGGCAAATTCAGCACAAAATTGTAATTTAAAGGTTAAATTTTAAAGAGTTACAGTCAGATAAGGATAAAATTCTCTACAGAAGAAATGTAAGCGCAGGCTCTATTTGGCTCAAAGTTCACCAATTTCATTTTCTATCATCTGTTCAGATACACCCTTTATAATAGTGTGTCAAACAAAACTCAATAAAAGTAATATCCCATATGAAAACATGTTTCCAGTGTCGTAAAAACTCTCAATATTTCAGGTAAATACGAATTTTGAGATCGCATCAACATAAACTCGCGTTAGAGTAAAATTGTCAATCTTTCGATTTATGATATAATTTGACTCTATAACGCATTTCAAAACTTTTTAGACTTCAAAGACTTAAAAAGCCCTTGATATGCCCTGAAAATAGAGTCGCTAGTTAATCAATCGTGATCCTATACAGGGATCATAAACGTTTATAATTGTCTTCGTCGACAACATTAGTTTTAAACTAAGAAGTAGGAAACAACAATTCTTAAGTGTTGATGAAGCCACATTTTACTATTTTACTTCACATATTTCCTCGAATTCAAGCTTTCATTAATGAGCTTCGATTAATAAGGCTATCTGTCGTAGAATTACAATAAAATATTAGTTCATTTCCTACTCCCAGTTCAATACCAGAATAACTATTTTCTGATGAGTTGTAAGCGTAAGACGCATCACACACAATCTCAAGCATAACATCCTCAGATCGACGGGGTTTTACAACACTAATTCTGAAAAGTTTCCAATCCCAAACAACAAATTTGTGTTTTGTTTTTCGTGTTATCGGTAAAAATAAACGAGCAATATTGCTTGGAAACTATTAAACTCATTCTATTATATATTTTCGGAATGAGGTCATTAACTTATGCAAGACACAAGTAATAAATGCACCCTGTGTATCCTGTTCAGTTAAATTTGCAATTATTTTATCTGTAACTCCACTGATATGGACTATAACGCGTAAATACTTTTAGGTTGGTCTAGTTAGATAGGAAATTACACTTTTAGACTATTAACTATTCTGTACGTCTTGTAGCGATCTGGGTGTAGATTAGACATATTTTGAGCAAACCAATTATGTGAACAAATTTGTTGGGCGCTTGATAACCAAATAAGCAATAATTCTAAGAATTTTGGGTCGATTCGTTACTTTGACAATCCGCAAAAATTGTTGAATTCTTTTTAGTTATGAAAAATGAATGTTGAAATTCCACGCTAATATATGGAGTCGAAGCCTGGACGCTAAAAGTCAGCAGTATTAAAAAGCTGGAAGCATTTCGGATGCGGGTGTATCGCAGAATGCTGCGCATTCCATGGACCGATCATACCACCAATCAAAAGGTCCAACATAGAATGAAGAAGGACCGAATAATTCTCGAGGCCATAAAAAAGCAATAGACTGCTTACCTTTACCATGTCATAACACAGGACAAGTACATATTCCTGCAACTGATTATGGAGGCAAGTTTGAGAAAAACGTGGTTCTGGACGTAGACAGTGCTCTTGACTCAGAAACATAAGGGATTGGACATGATTCAAGCTCTCTGCTAAGACGAGCCCAAGACAGAGACGAATTTGCCAGCATTATTGCCGATCTTCATTGAATGAAAAAGGTACTTCAAGAAGAAGAAGTAGATCCAAATCGTGGCAAGATTTTTTTGGATTTTGCACCAGTCCGAGGTTATCAGAACTTATTATAAGCAAAAAATAGTAAACTAGCTAGATTCGTGGCTGCTGTTATGCAGGTATAGCTGTTAATAGCTGGGATTCTAGCCATATTCATATATAGCTTCAGATGCAAACGAAACTGTCGGTTGAAACGCCTATAGCTGATTACTTACACTTTAATTGATTCATTTTAGTAATTTCTATAGAATATGATAGTTGGTTGCATATTAAAAAAATATATAACACAAACATTGAACTTACTTTCTCTTGGGCACCACGTTAGTACAAGAAGTAATCGCCTGCAAAACTTCCCTGTTTTCAATGTTGTTCATCATGTCATTGTCGCAGGAGTTGGAAGGAGAGTACCAGCCCTCGATGATCTTAATTTTGACCTGAAAATTAAAGACATTGTAATGAACAAAAATATAGAATGCTAGTCAAAATCGTTCTTCCTGTTCTGAAATTGTTGTCGACGTTTTAGAAAATAGGATAGGAAGAGGACACCTGAATGATAGGTCAATATTTTTATATAAGATATGATTAAAGCTCTTATATGAGACAAGGAGTTATAACTAGACAAAAACGTTTATTATGTCATTGATAAAAGTGATTATTTATGATATGATCATGATATAATTATGAAACAATGAGTTAATTTTATACGGCAATAGTAAAAACTATTGCCGTGAAGAAAACAACTATGTATTTTAAATAGAACCGTTATTTCGACATTATTTGAAGGAAAAAAGCAGTTGAATTACGAGTAGGAAAAGAGGTGACGTTTCGACGTTATAATTGGCCAAAAAGCTAAGAAGTATTAAAGAATACTTACATGCATCAAATAAATACTGTGCTTTTATTTTTTATAGGTAGTATTGCATTTGGGGAGATTGAATGAAATATTTGCTGGGGATATTCTAATTTGATACACACAATTGATGTGCACTGACAATTTATATTAAAGAAAACATAACAAAATTTGTTTTAGGGTTGTTAATATTTGGCTCAGAGAAGAGTTCAGGCAGGTGAAATTATACGACTGTTAATAAAAATCATGTTGGTTCGAACAATGCTACGCGCATATTTCAAAAAAACTGATTAAAATTATCAAAACCAATAATTATGTTCACTAAACTTTACCAATCCAAATGAAGTACTTTTTTAATAGCCAATCATTTTTTCGCAAGTTGCAATTTTGTCTCTACATCTATTTGTTGCCTAAATCGACATATTTATTATGTGTAAATTTTGTGGTCCCAAGCCAGTGATGTACAACAATGGAAACTGAAAAGTTTTGGAAAATTTTTATCGGCTTTGACGATCTGCATCTTATGATAACTATAAATATTTTTTGCTCAAATAGAACATACGTACATTTGATTTTTTCTGTCAAGTAACCCGTATATACGAAACATTACATAAACTGTGTTTGTATGTAATATTAAAGAAAATTAGCTAAACTTTAGTGCAATATTTCTGGTTCAAAATAATAGCGGTAGTCAGAAGAAGTAGTCGGCTTATAATCTCAAAGTCCTTTCTAACTTCTAACTCTCCATAAGCAGGGCGTTAATGCACAAAAACTCACTTCTGTAGTTGCAACTGGCAAAAGTATGCCTGAGAAATAATGATTTATTCACTATGAAATTTGCAATATTTTCATAAAACTTGACATCGAAACCGATACTAGCCTGAATAATTTACAAAACAGTCCAAATCGAAAAATATAAGGCCACTTTCCTTGAATTGCATGGGGACCTGGAGGTCCCATGAGTGCAATATTATCGATGCAAGGGATTCGAAGGGCACGTGTGTCAAGTTAACACCCCCGAATTACAACCCTATCAATCATGACAAAAATTATAATCTGATTACAATGACACGGTCGTATCGGTGGGAAATTTCGCGGTATTCAATTATTTAATCATTTAGACTTAGCTATCTATATTGTATCCTATAAATGCTTGGCATATTCGCGAAAGTAACAGACTTATTCTCGTACTCTAATAACATATTTTTATTTCTTTTAGAACGGAGTTGTGTTCAATTTTTTCAAATTTACTTTAAATGTAGAAGATAAAAGAAAACAATTTGAAGTTTCGGAAACTAAAGTGAAACCTTTAAAGTTCAACAGAAAGTATGTATAGGATAGCAAATAAAAAAGTCGGCGTTGGCCAGGCAGAATGAACAAAAATAATTTTATTAATAACAAGCATAATTTTATGAAAACAATAATAATTGTGTTTGGATCGCAGAGTTAGTGAAACAAGAGTTAGCAACAGCAATAAAGAACACATACACGTTTTAAAGATCGCTGCTTAAAACGCTAAAGCACTAAAGGAGCAAAAAGTAGACAATAAAAAGACAATTAGTAGAAAATGAAAACAGAAAAGTGGTATTACATATAAAAGAGACAAGAAGCTCTGTGATTGATTTAATTAAGATTGGGTAAAGTTTACCTGTATTTGGTAATAATTGGAATAAAAGTTCAGACAATTGAAAGTTGCATTGCATAGAGAGAAATAGAAATGACAAAATCATACAAACTGCGAAATAAAATACCGGAAGTAAATCTGGCAAATAGTGGCAGGAAAAAATAGCATAAGATAAATGTAATCCAATTATGGGCGCAATTCGAAAATCCTATTCTGTATAACTCTGTTAAAAAAAGGTAATGAAGAAAATAAATAGAAACAGACAATATAATAGTAACGGGAGATGGAAAAAGGAAAACTCAGACTAGAATGGACCCAATTGTGAAGCAGATGAAAATGCTAAATAATTTGTATACCCTATTACAAACAATATTCGAATAATTCAGAGGCACGGATTCGCTGATAATTCAATATTTTTGGATGGTCGAAACTCGTTCGATTGTCAAACCAACACGGAACTAAATAGGCAGACTGCTGTTATTTATTTATGACAATTATAACGTTATGATTTAAGGATAAATGTAACAAAATATGCATATGCAGTAAATGCAAGAGTTTTCAGCCCTTTTTTATATGCATCGGTAATTCCAATATTTTCGGTTGTAGGTAATTTTGAAGATACAAGTGGATAACATGCAAAAAGTCTCAGGACTTTATAGCAAATCCACATTTATTTTCTTTCCGTATAACTCAAAAATATTAAACGTATGCACTTTTCTGGTACTAGATGGAACTGGCCTAGAAATTTGCACAAGATTCTTTTGCCTAATCACTTTTCAAGTGGTAGACCACATTTTTTATAGCTATAAATTTTTCGTCTGGTTGGAATGTAAGAAAAAGTTGTTCACATAGATTGATAGATACATAGATCTATATTTGTGATAAAAAGTTTTAAATTTCTGTAAAAACATTACGTTGCAGGAGAAGCTTTCAGAAATAACAGGAAACTTGGAATACTACTTAATTAAGTGGTGATAATACACTGCACTGATTTTATCCTTACTTTCAATCTTAAATTTTCAAATATAGATATGTATGACATCTTCCGGAACACTTGTTAACTGTGTTGTAAATTTTAATTGTTAGTCGTATTGGATGAACAAAAACTCTCAGTATGTATTAAAAAAATTGTTATGTTTTTAATACACGAAATAAAATTGTCAAGCAAGCTTATACTTTAAATAAATGTATTCAATTACCTTCTGATAGCCTCTGACTTAGAAAGCCCGATTTAGTAATTTAAGAAACAAAAATATGAGGACAAAAGTGATATGTAAAGTATATTAAATGTTTCGGATTTTAAAGGCAAAGTAGATGTGTCAAATTGGAATTTACCATTCATTTATTTTCAATAGTTAGTATAATGAATGCAAACAACTATGTGTCGAAACCCCCTTTAATGATTGCTATTTCAATTTGTAAAATTTGATAACCGGGAAAATATATTTTTTTATGGTTTTAAATCTATTAAAAGTCGTAAAACGAATTATAGCATTACTCATCACATTATCAAGTAATTGCAATATTTTTATATAGGTCTTTCGACTTTGCAAATAAAAGTATTTTTCATATCAAATATATTTCCAATTAATAGGCTACGCATACGCTTTTATTGAAATAACAAGCGCATTTCTTTGAATTGGTAATATTTGGCAAATAATCGCAAGTTCATTAAGTCAAATTCTTTCAAAATTATCAACCCGAAGGCATCAATTACTCATCAATTAATCTTTAATTAGTTTGGGTATTTCCAATAGCTGCTAATTTCATGCGTATTTTATTAAACAGTAAACGTCCTGATGGAACGTACGTAATTCTTATTTTACCTTTTTAATTGCACTCCTCAGAAGTAAATAATATGTGTGAAATGTCTATTTCACACTCAATTTCACTACACTCTTAAACCTGCCAAAGCAAACTGAGATCAAAATCGGTGATAAGGGTAGATTCAGGGTCATAGCACCTCTCGAACGATAAAACACACCCCATGGCCAATCGGACAAGACCTCCCTTGAAAATCCACCCCAAATCAATATTTTCCATTGTTGTTCCCCTGATTATTTCAGCTGCAGGGTGGAGCTTCTGTTATATGAATAGCTTATGTATCAAGATTTATCATCATATATCATTATTGGTAAATCTGGTATAATGACTATTTAAAAAATATAAGCGGATGTAAAAGACTGGTTTTGCCATGTAATAAGAATAAAAATTAGAAATAATGGGGCGGCGATAAGAATATTCAGAAACTTATATCAGACTTTCCAGAAAGTCTTGCACAATTTAATATGTAATGTGAAAAAATATTATGAGCTATGTCAAAAAATACTGTAAAATTAGGTAAAATCTTTGGCGGTACTTATGTTATATATACGTAACAAATATAATGCAAAATTTCGGATTATAAAAGCATGGCGATGCAATTAAAACGTTTAAGAAATGTATAGCTAATCAATTTAATTATCACTTTACTAGTATTGGAATGAATATCCTTGATAAAATAAAAGCAACTACCAACGAAAGGGTCGCACAAAAGATGACACAAATTCTCCTTCTTTACCAAATACAGCGAGTATAGAGGTAATAAATGTTACAAAAATTGTAAAAAAGACACTGCTGCCGGAATATTCGTAATTCTTTTCAAAAACTTTGTCGTTTCGTCTCCCTTCATTTATTTCATTTCTCATTAATTAAATTAATTTGACGAAAAATTGCCTGCATTATTTTAAGATAGCAGAAATTGTTTGAATTTTTTGAAACAAATAATAAGGTGCTTGTTTCAAACAGGGCTCTGCTATATTAATGTCTCCTCCTCTATTAGTGTATCCCAAATAAATGTTAGCAGATATTTTTGAAGAAATTGTTAATTGTAGATTTCACAACTTCACAACACAGCTAGAAGCAAAATGATAAATAAAACTCATTTGGATTTAGGAAGGGTGTATTAACAAACAGTGGTGGGTAGAATTTTATTATTTAATTTGAGTTTTGTTTTAAAAAGCAATTTATTTCCAAATTAATAGATACTAACAATGCAGATTTTCCTTGTAACCGAACCTTAACTATGACGTGACTCTTAGACCGTCTATC